TGAACATAGCTTACACATTTTGCCTTTCAAGAATCATTATAAGGCGAATCTCATCTGAACATGATAACAACAAGGGCCTACGGCTCCGTGACTAATCGTTTCGTTTCACAGAAATGCCTTTAAAAGGATGAAATTAAAATAAAAATTCACCGCCATTATCTACAAAAAGTATCCCCTTTCGCCAAATATACACATACATAATAAGCATATACACATAGTCACGTTGTAATGCAGGTAGTGCATATACACATCGGTAAAGTTTTGTGCGATTTTAAATATAAATCTAGTATTTATCCAACTACAACATGCCTACTGGGCAGGAAATAGTCATGGTTGTGGTCAACGTTTCTTTCAAAAAAGTATCAACATTCCATTTAGTATGACGGTCAACCATGTAAAGGAAACTTTTCGAAAAAATACAAATATTTGCATAAATAATAGAGAACACACGTGATATAAACATTTCTTACTAAAGAAACCTTCATAACCTTTCGTTCATGCATTTTATTACAATTTCATTACTCCCTAAAATTCTACGTGATTTCTCAATAAGTTGTTGATTTTGCTTTGCATTATTCATCAAACGATCTTTCCATGCCATGGTAAACAATAGGCAGACAAATCTATTCACTTTATCCATTTTGCTGTCGAATATAGGGCAATGAAATTCAAAAGGTTTTCACATTTTTACGTTTCTATTATTAGTTTTATTAGTGAAAATCATTACTTGGTGCTACGTTAACATAAACCAAAATTAGATTAGATGGCTGAACAAGAAAGCACCGGTGTATGAATAGAGGATACATGTATTATAACGCGTAATAAATTATTTGAAGTGTTGGAAGAGAGTTTAACATGTACATGACTTGTTTACCCAAACATAATTTTTAAAAAATACATTTTAAGTGTTGACTTGTATACTCATAATCATATTAGACGATATTTTTCTTATAGCATACTTCTTGTAATGCGCACCCCACCCCCTTCATTCAATTCTTTTAGCCCACTATATTGCGATTATTATTTGAAACAGCCTGTAGTCCCAAAAGGGGGAAATGGAAAGTTCATTTTGGATAATGAGTTAAACAAGTACATGTAAACGGTTTGAGTTATGGTATGATGTTTGCTTGATAAAACAAAACATGCAGAAGGGGAGAGACGAAGAAAGATACACAAAGAGAAAGATTGACAAGAGAGAAAGAGACAGATAAACAGACAGAAACAGGAAGGGACAGACAGAGAGAGAGAGGGAGAGAGAGAGAGAGAGGAAGGGGTGGAAGGTAAGAAGGGGGAACCGATAAATTATAACACCACTATATTACCCGGCACAACATACTTAAATGTATCTACTTTTCGTTTTACATATACAATGGATCACACTTTCATTTAAATCAACTTTTACAATATGCGTTGATTATCCATACCAATAATAAAAAAGTGAAAGAACTGGAAGAGTATTACATAAATCATGAAATATTTGTTTCAATATAACTATGAAAATGAGAATAAGTAAAATATCTAACAGTTTTTTAACAACAAAATGTATACGAGGTAGAGGTTATGCATATTCATGATGAACTTACAGAACATGGTTCTTTTATTGGACCTTCCTGTGTGCTTGTCCCAAAATCATTTACATAATACATTGTCTGTTCCTAAACCCTTATATACAATTTATTACCAGAAGCACACAGAATGTGATATCTTTAAGTTGTCATAAAACTTAATAAGTGCAATATCAACATGAAAAAGAAAACATGAATAAACATGCATGAATACATTCATTTCTCCATTTAGCAGCCTATGTTACATGATATTCGAGAAATGCTTTTCATAGAGTACCGAAGTGTTACATCATACTGGCCATGTTGAAAAGGTTGCTGGTTCCAATTTATTTGATGGCTAAACGATAGTGTGGGGATCACACCAGCCCAAAACACTAAATTTACCCGGCTCCAATCCGTTGCTTGAGCGATTTCGCGGGAAACATCATGCGCATGCTCAGTCGTTTGAACCAATGACCTGCACGGACGATGAGCGGTTATGATGTCAGCACTTCAATACTCTGTAGCTCGTTAGTTAATAGTACCACTCATGCATCTTTCAATGTCCCATATATTCCAAAATATATTAAACAATTAGAGTATAAGAAAACGCGTAAAGATAACAAATATTCAAATACTTTCAAAAGTACAAATATACACCGGTGCTTTCTTGTTCAGCCATCTAATCTAATTTTGGTTTATGTTAACGTAGCACCAAGTAATGATTTTCACTAATAAAACTAATAATAGAAACGTAAAAATGTGAAAACCTTTTGAATTTCATTGCCCTATATTCGACAGCAAAATGGATAAAGTGAATAGATTTGTCTGCCTATTGTTTACCATGGCATGGAAAGATCGTTTGATGAATAATGCAAAGCAAAATCAACAACTTATTGAGAAATCACGTAGAATTTTAGGGAGTAATGAAATTGTAATAAAATGCATGAACGAAAGGTTATAAAAGGTTTCTTTAGTAAGAAATGTTTATATCACGTGTGTTCTCTATTATTTATGCAAATATTTGTATTTTTTCGAAAAGTTTCCTTTACATGGTTGACCGTCATACTAAATGGAATGTTGATACTTTTTTGAAAGAAACGTTGACCACAACAAGTACTGAAAGATATAGTTTG